ATTTCCCAACTGGCTGGCAAAAGAAAACCTCGTTCTGATTGCTTTGATTTCTAGCGTGTGGCTGCAGTCGAAGATTGAGTCACGTTTTTGGCTACAAACACTATTCAGCTACTCTAAGCACTAGTGAAACACACACTTAAAAATTGTATTTGCTTAATTAGTATTTTCGGAGAAACATGAAAGACTGCAAACAACCTTGGCAATCAGCCACAGCAAACACTGAGGTTTTTGATGTAATGCTTTCTTTGCAAACTTCACCCAGCAATGACCAGAATGACTTTTTCCCCTAACAACTACTGGTTACCAGGGAAAACAAGAACATTTCCCTGATATAATAACAGCAAAGGCCTTTTTTCTAAACAGTTATATCATGTTATGACCTAAATGTTAGCATTTAAAATGTATTACTTTAATATGTATTAAATACAGTAATATGTATTTTATAATGAGTGCTTTGTTGTGTGCCTGTATTGAAGGGTTTTATGTGACCTTCATAGGGACTATAGGTTTGAAATAGCAGTTTTGCAAAAATCTGACTTTTTGACACTGAAAACTTATTATAATCTCATGGATGAAGTTAAGATATTGCTTTTATATGTGATTAGTGTGCTAAGCTAATGCTAATGCTAAGAGCCATCTTTCATGGCGTCCACATGCCTGTGCTGTATATGATTATGCATTGCTCCAATAAGCGGTTATATATCAGCTTACTCTTCAGTTTCTCGGTCAAAGTATTGCAGAACTGTACTGGACTTTTCTTGTTTACAACTTCCTGTCCCATTAATTAAAAATATGTTTAAATATGATTGGCTCCGATGATTTCAGATATCGAAGCAACTTTAACTAATAAATAAAAAAACATCCAACTTCTTCCTAAATGTTCAATGTCTGTTTAATCTATTTAAAAGTATTAATCTGCTGGATCTGATTTTGAGGAGGTTTGACAGCACCACGTGCCGTTAAAAATTAACAGCCTCCTATCTCATAATTGTCTGTAAACCATGCATGCATTGTGGTTCAGCTAATGAGCACCTCCTGTTCTGGATTTTGCATTCATGTTGACAAAACAAAGTAGTTTTGTGCAATCTGCTTGCTACTGCAGCAAAAACAAAATCACATGGAGAATTAACCAAATGCCATCGTTTGCTGCTCTTATTGGACCTTCAAGCTGTGCGGCGGCTGCTTTGTATTAGAGGAGCTTTCAGAACTTGCAAAGATGCTGTAAGAGTCATGTCAAATCACTAAATGCAACATGAGTCTGCAAGAGGAACAGATGTGACTTATGCACAGATAAGAGGCCTAGAAGAAGGGAAGGTACAAGGGCAGTGGTCAAAATACAACAATGCATCATGAAGGATGAGGAGTCGTGATATGCAACAGACACTCTACACATCAGCCGGCAGTGGACTGCAGAAGAGGCGAGTTCACAAGACTCGTTGTCGGTATCTTTGTTAACCACGGCTAATTCTTTTCTCCTTCAGGCCACAAACTCCATAAACAGTTTCTTCCTCCTCCTCCTGCATAATCACGTCTCTACCGTGTTAATCCATGCGGAAGCTGTGATAGTTTGCTTTTGCAGATGATTAAACCCTGTCAAAATAGCACCAAGGAAACAATGAATACCAAACAGGGCCCTGCTGACTTTATATTTTATTTTCTCGCTCACATTGTCAAGTGTGAAAACTGCTGAGGAGGGAAGGGTACATCTATCTTTCTCTACGCTGCCATCTCGGCGCCGTCGGCGTCCGTCCGGGCGTGACTGTGGGCCGACGTCGAGGACGAAAAGGGTGAGTGGGGGTTAGCAAAATAAAGTGTTGATAGAAATGGGGAAAAAGGTGACCACTGATTGCCCTGCAACACTGCGCATCTTACACTGTTATCAAAAACAAGATCTTAGGCAATTAAACTCATCCTCTGGCCCTGTGGGGACATTGATGTAGCAGTGACAGATAAGAATGAGTTCACACTAAGCGTGCTTGGAGCGCTATATTCAGTCTTCTTTTAGTTTGCTTCACTTGAGTGAAAACAGATGATCACATTCGACCTTGAGTGGCGTTAAATAACAACCACAACGAAAAAAAGGACAGGCTGGTCTGTTTTAAATAATTTCACTGACTGAGTCATCAATATATGCTGTAAGAAAGCGGTAGCCTAGGCACCCTCATGCATAATCACATCCTGCAGCTCTTCCTGAGGGATCCTGCATAGCCAGATGGGAAGCCTAATCCCTCCAGTGTATTCAAGGTTCGCCCTGGGGTTTCCTCCAAATTGCCCTAACCAGAACACCTCCTTAGGGACGCATGCAAGAGGAATCCTGATCAGAGGGCTGAGCCACCTAAACGAACGCTTTCCAGAATAAAGAAGCAACAAAACCCTTCCCAGATTTGCAAGACCGTTAA